CTAGGACGTGTCGAGACGTAAGCGCAACAAGGTGAAAACAAAGGACGATCGAAAGAACTCACAGAACAAGCAAATAGCCCGGATTTCTCCTTTTTTCCGGATTTTCCAAAAGGCACTAGTAGGAAACAAACTTTTTTATTTTTCACTAATTTTTTATACTTTTCTCTGAACAAGGATCACAAAAGATGCAACCACAAAAATTGGCACCTACAACCGAGGTGGGATGTGGTCTCTGAAATTCAAAGACGTGCTCTCGAAAAGCGTGCAAAAACTTTGACAATTTTTTTTTCTTTATTTTCCTGAATTTTTTGGCAATTTTGACGAAACCAAACAGGGCGAAGCCCAGTTTGGGTCGGGTCCAAATGGTGTCAAGAAGCTGCTGAAAAATTTCAGATTTTTCCGATAAACGAGCGAAAAGTTATGCCTGTTTTACCGAAGGTATCTCAAGGTATGTTTTCAGGAGGCACAACACAATGGCGATTAGGGCAAAACGTCCCTAAACTCTAACACCGATCACAGCATAGGAGCGATGATGTAAGGAGGTCTGCGATTGAGCAAAATAAGAGCGGTGGCAACCTATCTAGGGCTTTGTGGCGAGAAGTTACCAAGGCGGCTAGCGGGGCAAGTCGAGTAATGTGGTGGCTTCGACTTGTTGTTTGGGAGCGGTGGATGGGATAGCTATGAAAACAAAAATCACAGCAACAGGCGATTGAACTACGACCACGAACACAATCCTAAACCAGCAACAAGACTCGACCACGGACACAAACTCAACAACACGAATCAAAGCGAAATTGCAAAGGCACAAAGGCGATAGGACAGCGGAAATTGAAATATTTTTAGGCTTTTTGTGGACTCTAGGTAATGAACAAATATGAATCTAAGGCAAGCGAGATTATACCTCGCGGTAAACTGAATATCTCGATACCAATTGATGAGTACAGGCCCGATCTTCGAGAGGTAGCGGTAAGTTCGATATGTGGAGATCTCTCGGCGTTGGCGATCCGGCTTCAAATCCGACGCGATTCGAACCGCAACTGCCGTTACACCATTGCTCCGTTGGTTATCAACCAAGCACAACTTGATTGACCTCGCCAAGAAGGCTTTTCACGCAAGCGAATCGAAGAGCACAAGCAAGAAGGTAAAACACTTAATCGATATTGCAAATATGAATGACCGAATATCAATAGAAGGTTCAAGAACTCGGTTCCAAAGGACTAATCGACACGATGGAGGAGATCAAGAACGGGGCCCTGGATCATCGTAAAAGGATTTGTCACCACGGTTACAATGAACGATTGGATTTCTCGATGGAAAACTAAACTCTAAACAAAACCCAATTGTGTAGTAGCGCGACGCGTGTGTGTTTATAGTCTAAGACTCGACCTAGGGTTGGGGACGGCCAGGGGTTGGGCGCCCACAACTTGGGCTTAAGGCCCGACACGATACATGGCCAAGTTGGCCCAAATAGGGTGACGTGGCAGCTGAGTTGGGAACGAATTGCAACTTGGGGAAGACCATGGCGTCGGTGTGTCCAGCGTGGCGATGTCCTCATCAGAGGATGGGTTAGTTCATCCGAATCGGGTTCACTGTTGTTCTTCCCCTTCACCCAGTTAGGGTTAGGGTTGGGGAACCACTGTTCTTCTTTTCTTTTACTCCTTTCCTCAGATCCGAACTAGATCTATTCTGTTCTTGCCGTGCGCCGATGAGAACGGCGGTGCGACATCTTTTCCCCGTGCGGTGGCAGTGGTGACCAGGGTTCTAGTAATGTCCGCCACCCCTGATCCCTTTTCTCTTTGCTTTTACCCGGTTAGGGTTAGGGTTACACACTAGCAACCTCGCTCTGGTACCAATGTTAGGATCGTGGTGTACCTTTCTGTGTAACCGTAGATCCGGGTAAGGCTCCTCGCCTTAGCGTAGTTGGGCCACAGCAATGTTGACGCCAAGTTCGCCCTGGATGCCGCCTCGCGGACGCCGGTGCTCGGCACGGTGAGGAGGAGGCGAGGTGGCGATCCAGTGGACCGGTGGAGACCCTGCAGAGGCGACGGCGGTGTGGTGGGGCATCCCATCGCTGGCAGCACACTGTAGATTAGATTAGGGTTTCTATCGGTGGGATCATGGCGGCTCAGACCAACCTCGTAACTGGAGCCATGATCCCCACCTATCTTTATATGTGCTTTGCGATAGGGGCCCACCAACCTATTAGAGTTGGGCGCCCCCGATCAGGGCTCAAAGGCAAGGGCCCAATAGGCTGGTGGAGATTAACTAACAGAAAGATCAGCGGTACGTGGCTGTCCATTTTACTGGATCGGGTCCTAGAACTACTGCACAATGACTAGTACACTTCACACACGCCAAAGCCCTATCCAAACTTCCAGAAGCCAAGCGCTCGTCAATACCAGCAGCGTGTCAGGAGATCCAGATTTCCATCCAGGGCGACATTCCATTCGACCACATATTCACAAGTAAAGATGGCAACGGGCCCCGATACCCGATACCCGACGGGTATTTGATCCATTAGGAGACGGGGATGGGATCATATCTTTATCCGCGGGCATCTAAATGGGCAAGAATCCATCCCCGACGGGTATAGCGGGTATGAGAACGTTCCCTGTTTACCCGTCCCCGTTGGGGAACCCAATTATTTGAGCTGTCATGCGAGTATTAGGCCCAAAGAAGCTCAACATAGGTATTTTGGCCCAAATCTGAACAATCATATATATAGTTTGTGTTATAGGAACCGTAGTTCAATTTTTCCTCACCATCTCCGCTAGCAGCACAAGCACGCCTGCCTCACGAGCGCTCGTGCCCCTCGCTTCCTCAGTTCGGTCTCTCTGCCACCTTTGCTCTTCCTCCTCGCAACCTCGCTCCTTCTCCTCGGCATCTCCGAGACTCCGACACTTATATCCGGGTGAAGAAGAAACGTCTTCAATTGCAAAGCTGCGACCCCAAGTGTCCTTGTTTCTCGGGTATGCAGTACCCGTCGGGTATCTGTTACCTGACCGATGCCCGACGGGTACGGAGATGGGCAAGAATCTATACCCGAGACAGTTAACGGGGATAGGGACGGGATGAATTCTCCGTAGCGAGGAAGAGAACGTTCTGGCGATACCCAACGGGTACATCCCCGTTGCCATCCATATTCACAAGGCATGAACACAGGAAATGGAGAGTAGCTACAGGTCATATTCGGAGTCATATTTGCACAACACATGACAACCAAAAATATCGACATACCGTCTCTTCGACTGCTCATATAAGCCGACTTATCAACCATGGTACAATATTTTTCTCTCCTAACAAATCAATCGTACAAATCAGCACAAACGGCTTATAGACCAGACAAACAAGGCCTATTGACATTCTTTTGTGGCTGTAGCCCTGTAGGCATGGGCCATCGGCAGTTTGCACTCTGCAGGTGACACTAGGATGGTTATCTTGGGCTTTCGACAAGATGCAATCGCCGAACATGAAAAATAAAAAGGAAAAAGTCCCCTTTACCTCTCTCAATTTTTACGAAAGTCCATTTTTTCTCCTTGAACTCCAAAACTGGGTAAAACACCTCCCTCAACTTTTAAAACCGTTCATCTTACCTCCCTGGCCCTGTTATAAACAGTTTTGAAGGAGGTTTTGTCTTTTTCTTTTTTATTTATTTCGGTTGAATCTTTGAAAAATCATAGTAAATCATAGAAAAAACATAAAATAGAAATTTTAATTTTGTTGGACTCCACATGAGTAGATCTACACAGTAAATATATAATATGGTATGCTTTAGTACAAAGTTTTTGCTGTGGGTTTAGATCTATGCTTTTTTTAATTAATTAGAATAATTCATAGCTGCAGTTTCTATGGTCCAAGTGTGATAAATTTTTTATGGTGGACTAATTATTGTATGATTGAACTGTAGTAAAAATTTCATACTCATTGGATCATGTATGGCTTAGTTATATATTTATTTATATTTAACAAGCATAATCCTAAATAAAATCTATAACTAAGTTATACATGATCCAATGAGTATGAATTTTTTACTATAGTTTAAGCATACAATAATTAGTCCATAAAAATTTTACCACAATAGAACCATAGAAACTGCAGCTATGAATTATTCCATTTAATTACAAAAAAGGATAGATTTAAAGTTACAACAAAAATTTTACGCTAAAACATACTATATTATATATTCACTATGTAGATCTACTTATGTGAAGTCCAACAAAATTGAATTTTCTATTTTATGATTTTTTTGTGATTTATTATAATTTTTAAAGATTCAGTCAAAATAAATAAAAAAGAAAAAGACAAAACCGCATTCAAAATTGCTTATAACCGGACCAGGAAGGTAAGATGAACGGTTTTAAAAGTTGATGGAGATGTTTTAGGCCATTTTGAAGTTCAAGGAGAAAAAGCGGACTTTCGCGTTCCAAATAAAAAATTCAATAGGACAGTTCCATGGCACTCATGAGCACACACCATGTCCATACACATGCATCCAAGTATCCAACGCATTTGACTATTGCTTAAATTTAAGAGAAATAATTGAAAAGAAAGCTTCAATTCTCTTATTCGTTGAATGCATGTAAACAGACATGTATCACAAATCCATTGTGGGTGCACATAAGCGTGCCATGGAAATAGCCCTCACTGATCCTCCCACCCACCGAACAGGTAGCAGTTGCCGATAGTTGAATTCAGCACATGAAAGCCTGAGTAGCAACTTCCAGCGCATTAGGAACATGGACACAAGTATGAAAATGAAATTACCAACACATATGCTCCATTAGCCTTTAGCTTTGCAAAGCGCATTAACAACTACAGATTTTTCATATCCAGTAAAAGGGAAGTAAAAAAAAAAAGAGAGAGAGGAAACAAATAACCCATGATTGCAGTCAAAGTTGTACACCAGTTGTCGCTTCGTTACGAGACTATTGCACTTGGCCGATATTTAACTCGAAGTTTGTATCCTTTCTTAGGGGAACAAAGCTAAAATGTCATAGCATTCATGAAGCTCTCTTGGGAGGAGACATATTCTGCAGGAGTCTGGTAGTTGTAGCTATAACCACCATTTGCAGCAGGATACCTAACATGGTGGACGAACGCAGACCACAAAAGTTAGCAACAAATACTTTGACTATAACTTACAAGAGATTTAGCTATAACTTACCAAGAGCAACACGAACCACATCAAGCATTTCATAGCTTGTGATGGCCTCTGTGTTTTGCTTCATAACCTAGGCAACAACCAAATGCAAATAGCTGATGATATTCATACTCCCGAAAAGCTTGTTGTAATTATTACCTCATAGAGCAAAAAAACTAATTCATACATCCCAGGAGGAATGGAAGCAAAAGAAAACAAAATTGTAGCCTCAAATTGACCAAGACCTAAGATTAATTCGAGTTTATCTAACACTAGAATACTGGCACAAACATGATAGGTACTTTCAGGATGAAATCTGCCTGAGTTATTTGCTGGTGGAATTATTGAGATTAAGATACGTGTATGATGTTATACCTGTCAACTTCTTCAGCCATGTGGGCATGACAATGAAAGGGAATGATCTTTCGCACTGATCGAAATAATAATATCATCCATCCTTTTTCCTTGATCTATCTACAGATATTTTTCTTCTGCCGAACTTGTCAAATCTAATGTGATGCTTATGCTCTATCCTTACTCAATGTGGAGAATCCAGCTTCCACATAGCTGGATTATCCCAAAGATAAGTTGGCCCTCAATTTGTCAGCCTTATATCTGGTGACATAGTTTTGGTAACATGGATTCACTACCAACACATTCAGCACCAGAGGTATTTTTGCTTTCTCTTTTGTGCTGATTTGATACCTGAATCATTTTTTTTTTTTTGGTTTTTGAGTGTTATGCCAACAAAATGAAGCCACCACTTAATGCTCGATTAGTTTATTCAGCAGTATCATAAAGCCAGATCCAAAATTGAATGGAGTCATGGACAACTCTTACATTTTAATCTAACTTAGGCCCTGTTTGGTTCCTAGGGGATTTTTAGAATCTGGATTACAAAAAATCTCAAAATCCTATAATCTCATCCAAACAGACTAGATTCTAGTGGATTTTAACATACAGACACAGATACAATGAAACGCGCTAGATTTTTTTTTTTATCCAGATTCTAAAAATCTCCTAGGAACCAAACAAGACCTTAAAAACAGACATGCTAGATAGTCCTGTGCACCTCTCGTTCAAGAAGATTCACATCAAGCCAAGCCCATGTTGCAATTGCATTGAACTTAGTATCAAACACTACCTATGCAGGCTGAAGGTTATTACTTTGTGTCTCATTCTTGCAAATGTACTCCTCCCCAGGTGGGACTTCAACTTGGGGTTATCTACCTCTAAAGGTTCTACAAAAGGGTACCATTTGCAAAATTTCTACTGCATGTTTGGTTAGTTCACAATTGCACTATCTAATGCCCATCATGACTCTTGAGAATGATCACAATTCTGGTAAGTCATTAACTAACTCCATTGGCAGGACTAAGAACAATAAGACTAGATAATTGCTGCTTAAGCTGCAATCTAAATGAAGTAACGATCTTAATAAGACAAGCTGTTTCATTTAAAAAATGACGAAGGTTGAGCTCATGCTTTTAATTGGATAGCATCAGGAGGCAGAAAAATAATAAACTTGCAAGATATATATTTCCACGCTCATCACTTGCAAAACAGCAATATTCTGAATTTCATAATCCAAACCTTCAAGAACAACTCTGACCGGATAATGCACGTCACAGAGAACGCAACCGCAATTGATGACAAGCTTGTGTAAAGCCGAAGCAGCACTGCCATAGTCCGCCTACGCCCTGTGAATAACCAAATAACAACATCAGCTAAAATACAATCAATAATCCGACAAAGGATGATTGATATGTCATTGGAAAAAGGATATCCTTTGGGAAAAACATGAATGGGGGTGTTATTTCTTTAAAAGCCCGTATGCCAAAGGCATCTAGAGAAAATTTGAAGCTTATATGCGGAGATTGATATAATTTAATGGCTGGTTTGGAAGGCCCAAAGTGAGGTAAGCTTTAAAGACTACCAGCTGATCCTAATAGAATGGTGTCCACTTTTACAGAAAAAAAAGAATGGTGTCAACAAAGAGAGCAAGATGACAGTATACCAACTTTGCTTGTTCTGACAAACTACAGCAGAATGCTTAATCCATGGCAAGAGTATTGAAAAAAACCCCTCTCCTATTTTACTAATCAGCAACCAAGAAGCTTGTCAATGAAAAATTAACAACTGACGTAGAGTTTCATATTTCACTGCCCATGATATTCTAGTTGACACCTCTTCTTTTTATCAGTGTCAAGGATCCTTTTATTGAACTTAAGACTTGAAAAGTTGTAAGCTCCTATTGCGGTTTTCTTCACTCGAGGCTCAAGATCTAGGTCGGGCTAGTTCTTTTTTGGTGGAAAAAATAAGTATATGGAACTAGTGGAACTGAGGTTAACACAACAATATCACCTAATTCCCCCACCACTATAGCCAGGAATCCCACAGCCACGGACAGCACGGCGAACTTGTTCACCGCCGCCCCCTTGGACAACGACAGCAACAGAAGCGCACCTCCGGCCACTAGGTGCAGCGCCTGTAGGAGCAAACCACCACGAACACTAATCAGATCAACAACCGCCAACAACGGCAAGAGATGGAGGGGCGAGTCCAGGAGCCAAGCTTGCCGTCACCTGCACGAGGATGAGGCGCGCGAGGCGGGATCTGCCCTCGGCGACCCTCTGGTACCCTGCAAAATCGCGAGGTTGTGAGAGAGGCGTTGGAAGCGAGGCTTTGGGGGTCTGGGCGGTGGATGCTTACGGGATTCGACGACCATGCGGTAGGAAAAGTCTGAGCCATCCGTGCCCGACGGCCGGCCGGCGCCGTGCCGCTGCATCGCCGTGTCCGACGGTGAGGAGGCTTCTTCGTCAAGGGGAGAGACAGTTCGCAGAAGGGCGGCGCCCTAGTCTTCGTGTCAAGGCGAATACCGAAAGGCGCCTTCTGACTGCAAACACGGAAACTGAGAACGCGAGCAGAAGACACTCGGACGCACAGGCACAGTAGCGCAGCCGCGCACACCACCAGTCGCTCGAGGACAACCACCCCGAGCTCCGGCTATGGAGGAAACCGGCGCCGCCGCCACTGCTTGGGCATCTAATGCCGCCACGCCCGCCCCATCCGAGCCCACAGGATCCTCTGCTGATGCCGAAGCCTCCGCTGATCCTACCGCCGTCGGTGACGATGAGCACGACTCCAAGGAGGTCGTCCTGCTCAGGTACTTCCTCCAGGAGTGGGAGTTGGTCTCCGCGATCCTCCGCCGCATCGTCGCCGGCGGCGGCGTTGCCCAATCCGCCGATGTCCACAGGATCCGCTCTATCGTAAGCACACTTCTCTTCTCCCTATTTCCAAATGCTCCCTGCCGCTGGATCTCTGAGAGGAGAGTGTGTAGCTCTGAAAGCAACATTGACTTCTGTTTGGTTATTTTAAAGGATATAATCTGCTTTGGCGTCTGCTTTTAAATGCACAACAGCCAAATTCGAAGATATCATGTACAATTTCTTGCAACCTTTTAGTCGTCTAGGAGGCAGTTTAAACTGTTTGGTTGAGGTTAATCTGTGAATGCACATTTTATTGCTAATATAGGATAGCAAAAGCTGAGCTTAGGTACAAATGACTTACATAAATCAATCCTATGTCGTAGAATGATGTGTTGTTTAGGAATTACATTCTGCTTTCCCTGGTAAAACAAATGGTTCTGGGAGAGAGTTATGACTGATCTATTACCACCTCTATAGATAAAGGTAAGAGGTAAAGTTCCACATGATGTGGAAACTATTAGCATTAGGAAAACAACTGATATATTTGGATAATACCCAGACATCCTATTTCTGACTTGTGTAAAGAGTTATACTCCCTCTGTTCCAAATGTAAGGTGTTTTAAGTTTTTCTAAGTCAAACATCTTCAAGTTTGACCAAATTTATAGAAAAACATAGAAACTGTCCAGCACCAAGCAAATACTATAGAAAAATCAATGCTGGATTTAATGAAACTAATTTGGTTTTGTAGATTTTGCTACGTTTTTTCTATAAACTTTGTCAAACTTGAAGATGTTTGACTTAGAACAGAAGTAAAACACCTTACATTTTGGAACGGAGGGATTATTTTATTTTATTTGGTTCGCAGGTGAATGATATATTAGACATCAACATGGTCTCCTGAGTGCAACTTTGGCCACTACTTTCAGTAATATTATGTTTGTAAAACATAGTAAAGTTGTGCTATTATGAAAGCACTTTTAAGAAAAATCTGTATGTATTATTTTCATATATCCAGTGTTAATATTTGTAGAGCATCAATCTTTGAACTGACTTTTTTAAGTGAACGATTGAAATGACTTTATGCCAAAATTATCATGCTTAAGAGCTTGCATGATAAATGTTATCTTTTCTGTTGAGCAATAGATGGACAAATATCAAGAAGAGGGTCAACTACTAGAGCCATACCTGGAGAACATTGTCTCACCACTTATGTCATTGGTTCGGTCAAAGACAATGGAACTTGGTGCTGGTACTGATGAACTCCTTGACATTATCAAGCCTCTGTGTATCATCATCTACACCCTTGTCACAGTGTGTGGGTACAAGAGTGTCATCAGATTCTTCCCTCACCAGGTTTCAGACCTTGAGCTCGCAGTTGCTCTCCTTGAGAAGTGTCATACAATGAGTTCGGCCACTGCTCTTAGGCAAGAGAGCACAGGAGAAATGGAGACTAAATGTGTTGTTCTATTGTGGCTTTATATACTGGTCCTGATCCCATTTGACATATCCACTGTGGATACAAGCATTGCTACTGCTGATAACGTGGATGGGCCTGAGGTCGTTCCACTGGTGACAAGAATATTGGACATCTGTAAGGATTATCTCTCCAGTTCTGGTCCAATGAGAAGGATGTCAGGATTATTGCTTGCAAGGCTCTTGACTCGTCCTGACATGGTGAAGGCTTTCAGCAGGTGATTCTTACAATTATTTTTGTACAACTCACATTCATTTATGTTTCAAATTGCTGTAGTAACTGAACCTTCAAAGGTATCCTATCACTGAAGGAGTGAAGGATTACCATTATCGCTAAAACAAAGATTTATTGTACATCAATAGTAAACACTTGACCATTTCATTGTACTTCTATTCAACATTGCATTGGGCAATGTTTTGAGTTCTCCTGCTTCTCTTTATTTTCAGTTTTATGGACTGGGCACACAAGATGTTATTGTCTGTAACAGATGACTTTGTCGATCAATTTAGATCCATTGGTATAGTGGAAGCTTTAGCATCAATATTTAAGGTTTGTATGTGTCTTATTTTTTCAATTTTTAAATATTCTCCACATGTGGTGGATATACCTTTTCCTTCAGACCTGAAGTTTCTCTATTTCATTTTTCTCTTAATAGGAGTTCTTTTTACACACATGATTCTTTTTTGTGGTTGTCAACAGGGAATGGATGTGAGCATTTGCTTTCACAATTACATATCGTTAATTTGGTTTGATGTCTTCCTTTTGGTTCCTCTTCTTGCAGATTGGTAACCGTAGAGCGCTACATGATGCTGTTTCTGGTACTTGGAGTGATTGTTCAATTGTGATGAAGACTAATGTCTCAGCCAGGAGTCCACTTCTTAGAAAATTCCTGGTCAAACTGGCCCAGAGAGTTGCTCTCATTAGCTTGCCTCCACGTTCGCCATCATGGCGGTATAAGGTTTTCAATCTCTTATTGTTGCTATAAATAGATCTCATTATTTCACAATCATGGCTCATATTTTGACTTGAAAAGGAAAAACCCAACCATATGGTGCTTAAGAATTTGTTCTTTTTGGCACACACAGAGCATCTAGATTGTTTGTTACATGAACGTGTCCTTGTAAAGTTAATAGGACATTTAGTATGAGGTAAAAGTGGTTTATTGTTGCAGTACCTGATACTTTTGTTTCATTACATAGTTCTCCTAAAATTTAATAGGACATCTGACTGACATGTTCTTGCAGTCTGATTATATTGTATGCACCGTGTAGAACTCCAAATCATATCCAGATCATGGAAAACTGTTCAACAAATTTAGATATGCGAACCACTCATAAAGTATCAGTTCTGAAGAGCTTCTGTACTATGCTGGAGCTCCAATTCCTGATCTGTTAAGGAAACATTCATAGGGATTACTTAGAGTACACAACTGCTGATAGGATCTGCTGACTCTGAACAGTAAAGTTCTCATTGAAGGTGCCTTGATTAAACATTTTCAATACAAAGTACTAATTCTTAATTTCTTATTGGGATTAATAATGGGAGTTGTTTCTGAGTTACAATCTGTCAGAAGTCAATTTTGGGTGATTTTTTTTTTTTTTTTTTTTTTTTTTTTTTTTTTTGCATAGAAACGCTTCAACTTGTCAATATTTTGTATTTATTTCTGGAAGGAAGTTCATGTATATGCTGGATTCTACATTGGAGAATACAGTACTCTCAGTATTTGAATCTGGTGAGAATTAAACAGATGCCAAGAAATTGTCTTGGCGCATTGGCATAATCATGTAAATGTATCAGCTAGGTGGCAATAAACTACTTAGCTTCATCCAAAGCACATCGTGCATTTAACGATGCCACCTGCTTTATTGACTGTTCGTGTGAGTTCCGCAGATGACTAACAAAAAAACGAATTAATCAGTAATTTGTGACATGTTTTACATTTTCTTTTATGAGAATGTTTTCATATTTTGATTTGTTTCTTCAGTCTAGTCTTCTATGCTTCATAGCTTGTAAGGGGAATTTCTACCACAGGGCTCACTGTTTTAACCTGATGCAGTCAATTAGCAGTTCGCTGGGTGCAAACCTTTCAAGTTATACAGCTGGAGAAGTGTATTCAAGTGGATCAAGCGAACAAGTTAATATTGATCAGATAGGCATGTGTTTTTTGGAAGAAGATATGGATGTTCCAGAAATAGTAGAAGAGATTATCGACTTGCTATTGACTGGTTTGAGGGATTCAGTATGTTCTTATCCTGATATTATGATGTAAAATTTTGATTTTATTTTCCAGAACGTGGTGGTAATATTTACGCAGCTATATGATCCCTTATATTGTACCCCATTTTGTTACTTTCTTTCTCTTTGCTTGCCGGCTTATACCATCTTTTCCCTACAAGGACCTTCACCTGCCAGTCTACCTCCACTGCATTTTAAATCTTAACAAATATTCCCTCCGTTTCAAATTGTAAGTCGTTCTGGCTTTTCTAGATACATAGCTTTTGCTACGCATGTGGACATACATTATGTATAGACGCGGAGCAAAATGCTATGTATCTAGAAAAGCTAGAACAACTTACAATTTGGAATGGAGGGAGTACATAACATTGCTCAGATTGTCCTGTACTGGAGCAAAAAAAAAAGCCACACAGCCCTTTATTGTTTGAATTTTAGAATTATTCGACAGATAACTGAACTTTAAATCCATTAATCAATTCTTGGTTTGATTGCTTAGAATCGAGTTGGTGAAACTTTTCTGTGTAGATTCCTGTATGCTACTATGATTTGTGAACAGGATTGCTTCATACAAACAACACAACTGCCTCCCACTCTAAGGACATAAATGCAGGAGCAATGGTGGTATCTGAAATGAAATAAGTTCTCAAAACTGTGTATATGAGAAATTATGTACACAATTTGAAATCATGATTCACTGCTTCATGTACTTTCTTAGGAAAACAGTAGGGAGTCTGGTCTATGTACTTGCTATTATGATTTTTTGCGTGTTAAAATACCAAAGTATTATTGGGCCATGAAATGCAATTACTAGCATTTGTCATCCCAGATGAAGTTGCACTAAGGGAATAAGTTTTTAGTTATTCATCTTTCCCATTTAGTCTCAAGCACTGCTGTTTTTGAAAGGCAAATGCTCTTTGATTCTGTGTCAGGATACAATTGTAAGGTGGTCTGCTGCCAAAGGAATTGGTAGGATAACTGCACGTTTAACACCTGCATTGTCGGAAGAAGTGCTATCATCAATCTTGCAACTTTTTTCTCCTGGGGAGGTCTGTGTATAACTTATGGACTTCACAACATCCTTTGATTGTTTATAGATATATCTCAGTTTATCTTAAGCTTGGCTAACTGCTAGTTTGCTCAGCTCTGTATCATTAATGCAATAACTTATGCCTTTTGAACTCTGAAGGGTGATGGCTGCTGGCATGGAGGCTGTTTAGCCTTGGCTGAACTTGCTCGGAGAGGGTTATTGTTGCCTTCTAGCTTTCCTGATGTTGTTCCTGTTATAATAAAGGTGCATAAGTAGCATAGTAGTACCGAACGATGTCCTTTCCTTTATTTCTTTTTGCAATGTTTGCTTAACAAACAGAATATTTCTGAATAGTTAGTTCATGGCTTGTTTCCATGGTGTTGATTTCAATCTACCGCATATCTTATATGGTGATCGCCTAGAGGTAGCACCAATTGAAGAAAAGCTTGTCCAACATCAGTTGAGGTGGTCTGGCCATGTCCAAAGGAGACCTCCAGAGAGGCACCAGTGCATTGTGGAGTCCTAAGCCAAGCTAATAATATGAGAGGTAGAGGAAGACCGAAATTGACATGGAGGGAGGCAATAAAAAGATATTTGAAAGCTTGGGATATACCTAAAGATCTATGTTTGAATAGGAGTACTTGAAAAGCAGCTATTGAAGTGGCTGAACTGTGACTTGGGGCTCTTGGTGGGTTTCAACTCTAGCCTACCCCAACTTGCTTGGGACTGAAAGGCTATGTTGTTGTTGTTGTTGCATATCTTATATGTCTACCTATATTTGATAACACATTCTAATTTCTAAGACAATTAAGTATTTATATGTTTAGTGCTGGTTCAGTAAGACAAGTTTACTGTCTCAATTGATTTCATGACGCAGGCTTTACACTATGATGTACGAAGAGGTCCACATAGCATTGGGTCACATGTAAGAGATGCAGCAGCATATGTATGTTGGGCATTTGGTCGAGCTTATACCAATTATGATATGAAGGCTGTCTTGGAACAACTTGCTCCCCACCTTCTAACAGTTGCTTGTTATGATCGAGAGGCAAGCTTATTTCTTATTTACATTTGTTGCACCCAGATGTTCTGCACTTGATCCCATACTATTTTGACTACATTATTTATCTTACTGATCCTTATTGTCTATGTGATGGTAGGTTAATTGTAGAAGAGCTGCTTCTGCTGCCTTTCAAGAGAATGTTGGAAGACAGGGAACTTTTCCACATGGCATTGATACTGTGAATACGACAGATTACTTTGCACTGGCTTCCCGATCAAACTCTTATCTGAATGTTGCTGTTTCTGTTGCTCAGTACAAGGAGTATCTTTATCCCTTTGCAGATGAGCTACTCTGCAATAAAATAACTCACTGGGTACATACTCTGCAATTATTTATGGTTTGAATGAGATTGCATTTTCAGTGTTTCCAGATTCCACACTTTTTACCTGTGCCGCAATTGCTATTAACTTCTCGAGTTTCTGCACTCCTTACCTGGAACTGGTAGCTGACTTGGGAAACTGAATTAAAAATCATTAGCAATGTAAATTCCCTGTAGTGATACTTCTGTATATTATTTTTTGAAAATAAAACTTCTGTATATTATTGCTGCAGCAATTAAACTACTTTTTTTTTCTTTTGTCTTATGACACCAATTTTGTACTGCCTTTCATCAAACTTCATCTTACATTTTTTAAGTTTTCTCCCCTCTTCTTTCACTTGTGCAGTGCTTTAATGACAATTAATCTCTTGGGCCATTGTTTTTCATAAATTTGGACACAGGGGATGAGACTTGCTATGTTTCAATACATTGTTTAGGCTGACTTCTCTTCCTTTATAGGAGAAAAGCTTAAGAGAGCTGGCAGCTCAGGCCCTTTCTTTGCTTGTACAATATGATATGGATTACTTTGCTGGACATGCCCTTGAAAAGTTAGTTCCGTGCACTCTATCATCGGACTTGTGTACTCGACATGGAGCCACTTTAGCTGCTGGTGAGGTTGCTTTAAAGTTGTACCAGCTTGGTTTTACCTTTACTACAGGTAAATGGTGGAATTGCCATGCATATTATTCCTTACACTTTTGCAATACTTATCATTTTCTCGTTTTAAGCTGCTTACCTGGAAAGTGACCTTGCGTCTTTATCTTTATTTTGTAGACATGCAGAAAGCTTTGGCAGGCATTGTTCCTGCAATCGAAAAAGCGCGCCTTTATCGGGGCAAAGGAGGAGAGATCATGCGCTCCGCTGTTTCTCGATTCATTTCATGCATTTCTGTAGCTGGGATATCCTTGAATGACAAGACAAAGAAAAGTTTGTTGGAAACCCTTAATGAGAATTTGAGGCATCCCAATTCTCAAATACAGGTGAAAGTTTGCTTTTTTCTCGATGTACATTCAATCAGAATACCCCCCCCCCCCCGTACTATCATCTTACTCGTATTTTCTCATTCGATTCGATATGTCATCAATCCCCTTTTTGTTTGTGTACCTGTACTTTCCGGATACTGTACTAATATGATACTAGCCATCTATGTTTGTAGACTGAATATTTTCTTTCTTTTCTCAATTTGTCCAGTGTGCTGCTGTTGAGGCATTAAAGCATTTTATTCCAACATACCTGGTATCTTCTGGTGAAAAGATTGCAAGTGATATTATTTCAAAATATGTGGCACTTCTAGATGACCCAAATGTGGCTGCAAGACGAGGAGCGCCGCTGGCCCTTGGAATATTACCATACAAATTCTTGATGTTGAAATGGATGACTGTCATGAGTAAACTCTGTAGCTCATGCACGATTGAGGTAATGGAATTACCTATTAGAAGAAAGATAAAGCATAAGATGTTGCTGTTAGAATGACATTATCCTAGCCATTACTGGCCTTCCTATCTCAGTCATTACTGGTCCTAATAGAAGATCATATCTTCATGTACTTTTGTAGCCTATATTAATTAGGCCAGGTTAGAGGACACTAGAGGATTTTCTTTATTCTTTCCTTGCATGTACACTCATTGTTATATAAGTACAGCCTACAGCAATAGAGAAATTATTCTGCCTACCTTTTTTCTGTTGCTGTTGTTTTAACACTGGAAAGAAAACTCTGGTGTGATCTGTTTTGTAGGATAAGCCCGATGACCCTGATGCTGAAGCGCGTGTGAACTCTGTTAGGGGGCTAATTTCGGTTTGCAAAACACTAACAGCATCTTTTGATCAGAGCTCAAATGGTGGAGATTCTCTATATGCATACATAAAAGATTATGTCATGCGAGCTTTATTTAGAGCACTCGATGATTATGCTGTGGACAACAGAGGAGATGTCGGTTCTTGGGTACGTGAAGCAGCAATGGATGCACTAGAACGGTGCAGCTTCATCCTCTGCAAGAGAGATATTGTTACATTGAGAGCAGCATCAGCCACTGGCCATGAGTCTGAACTGGGTGATATGGAAGTAAATGCAAGTAGTACTGCACACCGGCTATTTGATTCTGGTATTGCACAGGATCTGGTAGCAGGCATTGCAAAACAAGCAGTTGAGAAAATAGATAAGATGAGAGAAATAGCTATCAAGACCCTGCAGAGAATTCTGTACCACCAGGAACACCTCATCCCATTTATACCACACAGGGAACTGCTGGAAGAAATTATTCCCAACAGCACAGATTTGGAGTGGGCGGTAAGTGATTGTGAGAACTCATGGAAGAAAATGAGATCTAGTTTTGGCACTGGTTTATTATGACTAGTGAGAGCTACCTGTCCTGCCTTTAACTTTGATATTGCCCAGTATCTCACCAGATTAGTTCTCTTGCTCCAGAAACCATAGTCATGTTCAAAATGAAGTGCCAAGGGGTTTGAATCTAAAGCAATGGAATTTGACCTATAAGTGCATCTTTTGTTTTTTTTTTGAATGATTCTGTTTTCTATGAACCTATAGTTGCCTTTTGAAAATATTGCCTTAATAATTATTTACAACATGGATTATTCTGTCGCCAATTTGTGGATATTATTTGACTTGGTGGTGGTGTTGTTAACTCGTTGACATTTTACCTTTAGGTTCCTACTGTATCATATCCACGATTGGTGAAACTTCTTCAGGTCAGCTATTATAGCAAGTCTGTGCTCTCAGGGCTCGTGATTTCTACAGGTGGATTGCAGGAGTCTTTGAAGAAAGCTTCAACGACAGCTTTGGTAGGGTATCTCCAAGATTCAGAGATCAATACTAATTGTGAAGGGAAAAGTAGAGAGTATCTATTGAGTTGTGATCTTCTATGGGTCCTCCAGCACTACCAGAAATGTGATCGTGTAATTACTCCCACATTGAAGGTAATAAAGGCTTATCTACACTGTCTAATGACATTATATTTTGAGCCTAAATCTTTAATATGTTGCGTGTAAATGCTATATTGTGGTTAGGCTTCCAATAAAGTATATTACTGTTGATGTACTGTTAGCACAGGGCTTTGAAAGCTTTTTTGTGGTCGTGTATCTAATAGACGTGCTCTCCTTCAGTAGTAGTTGATGTAATTTTTTCTACCTTCAAACTCATATCTATTCATTGTTATGTCATTATGACTGGTGCTGCTAATTCAGTTTTGTTTCATGATCTTAAATATTGAAGTACACATAAGTCCGCATTCTCTTTTCTCCCACATTTGATGTTATACATATTTTATTTTTAGAAAATTACAGTGCTATGGTTCCAAATATGTGAAATCGTGAATTGTAGTGGCATATCTCCAAAACATGACATTGTTATGGCACAAATTAAAAAAAAAATCTTTTAGATCTAACAAGAGCCTTGTATTTGCAGACTATTGAGGCTCTCTTCAGTAAAAAGATTTTCTTGAACAAGGAGGTGAGTTTACTTCAGCAATGAACATCTAGTAGCAGATAAACAAAGATGATTTCCGTTAGGCTGCAAAGACATAAGAAGTGGAACCTTACAAAAGTTGGGCATCATCATCTGATAACATCAAACGATTAATGCACCATTCGTTGTTAGTACAATCTTCAATAACTTACAATTTCACCCTTAAATGTACAGGGAATAATACTACATCTAGAAACTTAGTTATCTCATGTTGATCAAATGCTTTTACTGCCAAAAGAACACTTTGCTCGCTTTCATAGTTATATTTACAATGTTTTCTTATTTCTTATGTTTTTTTCCACATTTAACAGGGGTACAGTGAGTTCTACAGTGGACTGGTAGATTCGGTGGGCTCTGAGCTGAAGGGATCCAAGGATTTCACAAAGTTATGTGCAGGTCTCTCAATCCTTGGATACATTTCTTCAGAGTCAGATGGAACTTGCACTAAGGCATTTTCTCAACTCCTCACATTCCTAGGCCACAGATACCCCAAGGTAACATTTATCATTTCTTGCCTGAGAACGCAGAACTTGACACAAGGATCAGCTGAGCTCAAATACTCTACAATCTTACAGATCCGAAAAGCTGCAGCCGACCAGGTGTACCTTGTGCTGCTGCAAAATGATGATCTTATTATGTCGGGGAATATGGATAAAGCCCAGGAATTACTTGCGGAAACATGCTGGGAAGGAGATGTGGAGGAAGCAAGGCGCAGGAGGTCAGAAATCAACGAGATGGCTGGTTTCAGGGTCACCACCACACAGAAATCTGGAAACCAAGAAACAAGAAGAACGGTTGCCACTTCGACTGATGAGAACAAATCTTATTTGTCATTGGTCGATTTCAGCGGATACTAAGGATGATTGGGGTTTTGAGATTTTCGTTGGCCTCCCATCCTATTTTTGACCAAAGGTTTGTATGAGTGTTGCTCTCCGCATCGAACTTGTACTAGTGCTCACTGTTGAATATCACTATCTGTTTGGACGAGTTGGGTTGTTTTGAGATTTCGTTTTTTTTTCTGGTGGGGTGGGATGGGATGGGATGGGTGTGTGGGTGTTGGGTGGTTGGGTGGGGGGGTGGGTAGATTAGTTGTACTGTTGGACGATGTAATTTTGTGGAAAGTCTGATCAAAGTAGAAGTTGCGCCCACATGCCATTTGCGAACCTTTTCATGTAGCTCGAAGATCTGTACTGTTTGACGAGGTCTTTCGGGAGCGTATGACGTGGGTTCTAAAATGAAAATTGAGGAGGCATTACATTATGAAATTTAAAATCATAAAAAAAAACTCAGATTCAGTCACGGATGGCAAGTTAGAACAACCACAGGCGAAGTGTAACTCATTTAGTTTCTTGTGGTGAAAGTATACATGTTAGTGGGTACCTATTATCCATATTAAAACCTTGTAGAATATGAGTATTTTTTATGCATCAGAAATGGGTATGAAAGGTATAGGGATTGGATTATTCATAGGTAAGTCTTTAGCTCAATTAATCATCTATTTATTAGAAATAGGTGGATCAAATAATACAAAGTATGTAGGACTCACATGTTGATCTTGCTGCAGTAATCTGCACAAAGTGCCTACTGTTGTATCCAATCATCTGCAACAAATTTTATTTAATTTCGCGAAAAAATAGTGTGGACACGGTATTTTTAATTTTAGGGTCTAATCTTTTACGTAAGACTCACATGTATATATCTGGCCACATTAATCTGCACAGAGTAGCCCCTATTATAAAGAGTCGTCTTGAACTAATTTTAGTCAATTTCGCGAAAATTTTAATATGTGAACGTGAAGCTTCTAATTTTAAAGTCTAGCTTTTGACGTAGCAAGCACATTTAAATCTAGTTCCACCAGTATCCACAAAGTAGCCAATGTCATACCAAGTCATCTCAAAAGGTTTCAATCAATTTGGCTCAAATTTTTATGTTTGAACGTGAGATTTTTAAATCTAGTCTTGTTAATCTACACAAAGTTGCAAACTATTATAATTAAATCATTTCATCAAGTTTCAGTCAGTTTCACTAAAATTTCAAGATGTGAAGGCGAGGTTTTCATTCCAATGGTCCAATATTAATAGAAGCTAGTAGTTCAACTCAAAATAATGAGTACGAATAAGATTGGGGAGGGTTAGAATTTTAGAAATGGATAATGAATTTGGATGTGACAAGCATGGATTTGTCCTTACCCTTCCAAGTGGCAAGTATAGATGAAACTTGCTCACCTGAGCACTAGACTTGATATGGGTGTTTTTTTTTGAATTGTTTTAGAATTTAATGGCACAATTTTTTCAATGTTAGTAATGTGTTTGTCAACAATAGAACACATATGATGACTTCGTCAATCTTGGATCTACCATTTTGATCTCTCTGAAGTGCGGCACATCAACAACAAGACGTCTATGATTACTTCATCAATCTTAGATCTGTCGGCTCGGTCTCTCGAAAAATGCTCATAGAGAAGTGTGTTTGTATGTGTTTATAGGGATGAATGCACGTGCTTATTGTAGGGGACCGTGACGCCTAAGAGGGGGGGTTAAATTAAGCGACTTAAAATTCTACTTCTAAACTATGGTCTCTTTTTCTAACCTTAACAAAACCTATGCAAAAGATAAACTATCTGTTGGACACGGGGACGCCTAAGAGGGGGGGGTGAATTAGGCAACTTAAAAATCTAACTCTAAACTATGACCTCTTTTTCTACCTCTAGCAAAACCTATGCAAAAGATAATCTATCTAGATGTGCAACTACGGTTTTACTAGTGTGTTGCTATCTCTACCGCAAATGATAATAATATGATCAATGTAAATGTGGAAGCTTAAAGAGCAAGGTAGAGATATGCAAACTCCCGTCGACGACTCCGGTATTTTTACCGAGGTATCGAGAAGCGCGCAAGCTTCCCCCTAGTCCTCGTTGGAGCCCCTCGCAAGGAATCCCTCGCAAGGGCCAAGCTCCCGGTCGAGTAACTCCGTGGATAGCCTCGGGCCTTTCCCACGCGCAAGTGGGTCTCCGACGTGCCTTCCGGCAAGCCTCTCCCGGATGCTCCCCGCCGTCTTCACTATCAAGCTTTCGGCCGAAACGCCGCGGGCCTTGTTCCCTTCGGTACACGGTGGCGACCGCACCACAAACGCGGTTGGTGCGATCTCGCAAGACTTCAAGCCCCTCCGATGTACAACTCTTGTGCTCGCAAGCACGGGGTGGCAAGAGGTATGCAAACCTCACTTAAACACTAGGCAAACACCTAGAGCAAGCGCATAAGCGGTGGTCTAATCAGCCTAAGCACTTCGCAAAGCACTTATGCTAATCACCTAATAAAACACTAAGCACTATGCATGTGGAGATCACTCAAATGGTGTATCAACACTCTTGATATGTTTTCTCAGCTCCACACTACTCAAATGGCCGGTTGGGGGTTGTATTTATAAACCTCACTGAGAAAGTAGCCGTTGGGGTCGAACTCCCGCAAAGCTGCTACTGACCAGACGCTGAATCGTCCTAACCGGACGCGTCCGGTCGTCCCGACCGTTGCAACCGCGAACTACCGATCGGACGCTGCCAGCGTCCGGTCGCAGTTTCGCGCGCCTGGAACCTCTCTGTACTCGATCGGACGCTGCGTTCCTGCGTCCGGTCGGTTGCCGCCAGCGTCCGGTCCTTGCATCCGGTCGCCTGTCTGCCGAGCCACCGGTCCAGCGTCCGGTCCAGCGTCCGGTCGCCTCTGCGAGCTCGTTTCTTCGCGATCTTGCGCACGGCTTGGTTCCTATCTTCATGCTTGGACTTTGCTTGACATCTTGGGTCTTTTCTTGTGCTTCTAAGATCTTGCTTAAGGTGTTGATCATCAGATCATCACGTCGCCTTCGTCCAAGTCACGTCTTGCACCCTTTTGGACTACAAAACAAACACTTACAAATTCATTAGTCCAATTCGGTTGTGTTGGTCATCAAACACCAAAATCCAAAGTAAATGAACCAAGGGTCCATTTTCCTTACAATCTCCCCCTTTTTGGTGATTGATGACAACACGACCAAAGCAAGCAAATGATAAAAATTTTTAAATTTAAAAATTATCTACTTGCTAGGATGCAATGCAAAGGGCAAGGTTATATGATACTAATTGATAGATACCAATTAAAACTTTACTTAAAAGCATGTCTTACCCTTGCAAATGTCCCCATGTGATATTATGGATTAAAGCCTATCTTTCTAAAAAAAATTCTCCCATTACATAGACTAATCCATAACTAATCCATAATTCACTTTCCTCCCTTTCTCGGACCATTACCACTTGTAGACATCAACTTGATGCTTGCCTTTGGTCCTTCAAATTCTCCCCCTTTGGCATCAAACACTAAAAAGGAAGACATTAGTGGCACAAGGGAGGGTCAAATTTCATGATCCTTTGTGTATAGAGTAAAATAGATCACAAAATTTGACTCTCGCATTATATAGACTAAGCTCCCCCTAAATATATGCATACATATGGTAGAAAGCAAAGCATATGCATAAGTAGCAATTTGTCGCACAAGAGAGTTTAATCTATATAATGCATGGAGAAAGCATATAAATATGAAATGAAATCAACATGATGATGCCAATTGAAGAACGATGCTTCTCTTCGAGGACTCCATTTTCCTTGCAATGAGACTACTACACACATGATAAACTTGAAAAAGGTGTTAGTCTCAAAGCGTCCATCTTGTAGATGATCCTCCCCCTAAATTTGTGCATGGAGACATGGAATACTTGAAGTACTCATGCACAATTGATTTTGGAGTCAAAATACCACTTGAAAGATGATATTTGGGAGAAAATTATCTACAATTTGGACTTTGGCACATATTAGATAAACAATAGTAAGACAAGCTATGTGCCGTGCTCCTAAGCAATTTTAAACCATGTAGGTTTGCTCCAAGGGTTACCAATGAGACCGAGCAAGCCTACCATATGAAATACCTAGTGTATGCATGACAAAAGATATAAGCATGCAAATGCAACCCTAGACATGAAGAGTAACTAGATGCTTAAAGATACCAATTGTAGGAAAATCTAATTGCAAGATGTACCAATTAAAAAGTAATAACATCTAGTTACCTAACATGGGAAGGGGAATTCAGGTCCATAGAATCCACTAACCCACTTGGCAATGACTTTGTCCAACATGATGCACCCCATGAAATGCACCCATACTTTGCCAAGACTCCAAATTCCCCGAGGACCGACGGACTTCTTACTTCCCTTTCGGGATCCAAACCTTCTTGGTGCTCTTTATGTTGGAAATGATTTCCTTTGGCACCCAAAAGCGTTTGACCCCGTTGTTTGCTTGCTTGTTCACCTTGATGGCCACCACCTTGTCATTTTTCTTCTTCTTCAAGAGATAAGGTGTGGAGGCCTTCTTGTCCACCTTGTTGGTGTAGGTGTTGGAGAGCTTGCTTGTTTGCTTTTTCTCCTTCTTCTTTGCTCCTCCCCCATTCTTCACCTTCCACTCATAGGACTTGTGGCCTTCTTTGTGGCACACGTAGCAAACCACGGTTTGTCCTTCATCAAGCTTCTTCACTCCCTTGACGGTGTTATCTTGATGAAGTTGGGTTTGCTTCGCCTTGCCTTTCATTTGAGTCAAGTCCTTGGTGAGGCGAGCTACTTCTTGCTTGAGTTGCTCATTCTCTTTTGCAACCTCTTGTGTGCATGTATCTACAATCACTTTCTTAACACAAGCTTGGTTGCACAAAGGTGAGTCTAAACATAAATCATTGCAAGAGGTAGATGCATCCTTTTTAATTATGTCATTTCTTTTAGATGCCTTGGTGGAGGTATTTTTTTCGGCCTCAAGATTAGCAACTTGATTTGATAGCTCATCACAATG